TACGCCACGGGTATCCGTGTTGCATGCATGCACAAGAAATTACAGGCACCTGTACCTGTAAAAAGTTTACTTAGTTGGCTGTATCTCTTGTAAGCAACACAGCCATTCGTCTTCCTTTTTTCGAAAGGAGCTGCCGGGAACTTGTCGAGCGGGTACATTTACGCATAATACACCTGCTCGGGCCACTTGTTTGCGACGAAGGTAAATGATGGTCCAAGCCTCGACCCGAGGATGATCTGTCGAACGAGTGGCCACTTTTTCTCCTCACGATGCGGGGAGACCGAGAGGGCAAGGGTGATTGACTTTTGACACACTCCCCGTCTCGTCTCGTCGCGTCGCTTTATCTGCTCGCGTCCAGTCGCGCGCTCCTTCCCCGCAAAACCCGCGGCTTGGGCCCCATCGGGGGTGAAAAACGAAAAAATATACTCGCCCTCTATAATTTACGCTAGGGTTCGGTGGGAAAGCGGGCTCGGGGTCGTATTGTTGTTAATCTTCGTCCCCGCGGGTTCTCACCCTCTATCCCACCGAATTTTTCCACGTTTCCTCTTCGTAATCGGTGGCGTTTTACACTGATAAAAATCGAGGGGTGAAATTCGGTGTATGCAGAGCTGCCACGGTCAGGAAATTTTTAAAAGTCAGGGAAAATGACGAAAATGTCGGGGGAAAATCCTGAAGTCACCTTTATTTGCTCTCTAGAAAAGGTTTGACGTTTCGAACAACAAAGCCTGGAAAATATTTATTTCTTTTTCACCATCTGGCATATCTTCAAATGTCAGGGAATTTCACGTAAATGTTTCAGGGATGTATCAAAGAATTTCATCCTCTAAATTCTGTGGCAGCCCCGCAACTTATTCGGGAGTCCACCTAGTACCCTAAGAGCTGACCGATATGAATGTAAAGCGTTTGCTCCGTATACGGAGCAAACGCGATTTCGTACGCGATTTCGCTCCCAAATGCTCCCGAAACCCAAATGCTCCCGAACCCAATGCTCAAATTACGGAGATAATTCAGGTGGGAATACTTATACGTAGTCAAGTCAGTTCCATGTTCAAAGATCGTAATAACTTGAAGCCATTTAGTCCTCTACTCGCCCTTCTCGGTAACAAAGTCGGAGGACCCACCATATAAGAAAAAAAACTATTTTCTCGCACTCCAAGCTAATTTTAGTCCTACCAAGAACCATTGTAAAATGAGACAAGTTGATATTTCTACACTCTAACACAGCACTGGAAAAAAAACATCTAGAGTCTTAGAGTCCAGACTCTTGAGAACATTGACAAGAAAAAGGACTCTTGATTCAATCAGATTTAAGCTTAAATCAAAAGGAAATCCGCTCAAATTAAGAGGCTTGGTTCTTGATTTAAGCTTAAATCTGATTGAATCAAGAGTATTTTTTCTTGTCGATGTTTTGAGTCTGGACTCTAGATCCAATGTGTTTTTTTCTAGTGAACGCTCAAAGTAAGGAAAAAATGCAGGCAGGAATACATGTGCAGGTTTGTTCCGTGTTGGAAGATCGCGCCAACTCCAAGCCATTTTGAACTTTTGAGGTTAGAAACGTCTAATATCGTGCATTACGGATGACAGGACACCCTAATGCAACTGCGCGTCGGTCGAAACTTGAGGTGTTAGTATTGAGCCTCCGACTTGTGACAAGGTATTTTTTTCAGGGAAACCCTACGGCTCCAACTCCTCACGTTTCACTCGTTTCCAAATCGCGTCGCGCATAACTTGCGATTTCACCTCGTTTCCCTGTCAGTTCCCAATCGCTTCGTACGTGCATATTCAAGCATATTTGGACGCCAAAATCGAACATTAATTTTGCTCGAATCATCATCGTCATCACGAGGCTCCTCTCACACTGTACTTCCTAGGATGTATCCCTTGGGTAACTGTTTTTGTCCCACGGAATCGAGACGAATCCAGCGCTCAAACTCGCACGAGTGAGTGTTGGAGCAAAGTTCGCCTGCATTTAAGCGAATAGGCAGTAAAAATCCTTCACGTCGAAATAGTGGTATCCGGTGTGATTGACCGGCGCGGCGTCCTGTATGTTCGTGCCTAAACTTGTATCCAGCAATACACGGAAAAAAGTTGAAGGGGTTTTTCCCTAAAATTGTGCTACTACCCAAATTTGATTGATGATATGGACATTTCCAATTAATTGTAGTAGTACCGCAATTCAAGTTGAGATTGTACCGCAATTCAAGTTGAGGTTGTACCGCAATTCAAGTTGAGGTTGTACCGCAACATTAGGATTAGTAACCTAATTTATTGGGGTACTACCAATCAGTTGGGGCAGTAAGTAATAGGGGTTTTACCACAATTAATTGGAAATGTCTATATCATCCAACAACCTCGTACTTTTTTTAATCCGTGTACCAATACAATTATTATTGAATGGGATTTCCTTTTCCACCAGTGGCGTAGCTAAGAATTCTTTAGGGGGGGGGGGG